ATAATAGATGCCGTATTATAATAAGGTCCCAAAAAGGGACCATAATTTTGCCAACCACCCACATGGTTCAGGGCCTTCAGCTCAAGGGCTGCCGGGCTTCAGCTGTTTTATGGAGCGCCTGAGCCAGGAACGATTGAGTACGTGTCGACTTCTCATGAGCCCCACCGCAATGCAGTTCCGATAAACAAAACCTGAAACAAAAACAAACCGCTAAAATAAAACCCCAAATGAGGTCCTGTAGCCTCTGCATACCAAAACCTAAATGCCCGAAGCCCGAAAACTTTAAACCAAAATCCTTCAGCCCATATCCCCAAACCCTTTTTCAACCCGGAAGTCCACGCCTGAAAAAAGGGCTCCTGTATGCTTGCACTGAGAAGCCCATTTGCGGCCGGCTGACATTAATGTAGTAGGGGCCTTAATAATTAGAAGTGGGAGTTGGGATACATTATACTATAGTTATAATAAGGAGCCCCCCCAAAATAGTGAATAGGTAATTTTTTAAGGCTGGTAAGTTTCAACCCTGACCAGCAAACAGCCCTCCGGAGGCTGTCACCTCCAATCACGGGAATCGGGTTTTGGGTTTAGGATTTAAGGATTTTTTGCATGTCATACCGTAGTCGATATGGATGTGAGGGCAGAGCATTTCAAAGTATTCCGTCCACTATATTGGGCGCTAGCTGCTTGACCCTAAAAGGTTTGGTTCTTCTGCGACTGTCGATTTAGGTCGTCGGCTTGGGGTTTAGGGCTTAGTTACAGTGCTTATGGCTTAGGCTTTCGGGTTCAGGGTTTAGGATTCAACCCTGAGCCCCCGGAATACGAAAACCCGAAGCCCATGACCCAACACCTGGAGCCCACTCTGACCCATCCTCGAACTAGAAACGGGATCTGAACATGGGATACGGTTTTGTGGGATATAAACATATACAGTCATCTGGGACAGAAGCGGGATACTACTGTTGATGGACAAAAATTCTGCATGACCCAAATTTTTTTGTAGTACCATAAATCCCATAGCTGAGGTATAGGATTTTGTCCATCAGCCGTATTGCTAATTCGTCCGACAACGGTGTTAGTGTCAAGCAAGCTTCAAACCGTGACCTGCCCATGCCCCAATATCCCATAAGGCTCACTTCTACATGGGTTAATATAGGGGCCTTACTAATTACCTATCCCTAGTGTTTTAGGGGGTTCCTGATTATATTGATGGTAAGATGTACCCTAAATTATTAAGGCCTCTACAATAGATTGGCCTGGGCCGTGGGACTCAGTTAGGCTTTAAGCACTTTGGGTTTCGGGCCGTGGCAACACTCGGAACATGAAAACAGGGTTTAGGGTTTAGGCATTTCTCTGATACAGAACTGAACTGCCCTGTAATAACTGCTGTAGTCTTTGCAACTTCTCAACACCTCTTTGTTTCAAACAGTGGTCTGGGGCGGTGACAGGGTTGATAGGGCCCAGTATTTTTCAGCAAACCGTGTTCAGGGCTTTGGGCATCACCATCATCACCACGATCATCTTCAAGTTCTTGATTTCAATCCCGGTCTTTGCGCTCAGCTTATACTCACTCCATATCCTCCTCCCGGGTCATGGTGTAGATCCCAGACCCACAGCCTGCAACCCCTTAGCCAAAACCATCCAAAGGCCAAAAGAAACTAAAGCGTACCTTTCTGGAGTGTGGAACGCCCTGGGGGCCCCATATTTACAGTGTTTTTACGGGGTTTTTACTTATTTTATGCATTCACACTGACGGCCGCACGATGCACTTGCTGAGGCTGTGACCTGAGTACCAACACTTCGTGACTGTTGTTGTCTTTGAGTTTTCATGGAAACAGATTGCAGTATCTCATCTGCTCTGCTGTTCTGTTTTTTCTTCACGGTTCGCTGAGAGCGCGCTATCCTGTCTTTGATAAGATCAGATGACTTGATAGCAGCAATGTGACATCATATAAGCTAGTGTCGTCAAGCTAACTATGATACGTGCACAATGCTGCTTGTCTCCTGCGTGTCAGGATGAGCGAGGGCGACTCGAACTCGTCCGCGGGATCGCAGAGACACGCATAGTAGTGACGAATTGTCTCGCTTTCAGCGAGAGGACGGCTTTTTCAAAATCTTCATGACCTTGCTAGAAGGCTTTTTGCAAGCACAAGCGGAAGGCGCAGGACGCGCGTGAACCTGCGCTTTCTTCATGGTCTTCTTGTGGGCGGAATGTGGGTTCAAATGGAAGGCCTCATTCTGGATAACAAGCTCATTGTGGCGTTTTGCGTACACGAGAACATAGAACCGGTGCGTGCGGGCATTCATCGTATTCATGGTGCTCGCGTATCCGCGGAACCATGAAAAGATCTGTTCTGAGATCGATGTGTTCACATTGCTGAGACGCCGACTCAGGCGAAGATGGTTGTAAGGTGAGCACTTGCACGAGTCACAATGCCCTTTCGCATGAAACTTGTCCACAGCCCAATAGCGCACCTGATTCAAATCCTCTGTGCGCTCTGCTGCAGACAGGAGTGAGCATGCACGGTCGTAGACGACACAATCAATGTGAGTGTGCACGCCAGTGGTTCGGCACAATGTCGTCAAGGCAATATCGCTATTCTCCGGCTCGCGCATCTCGGATACTGCCAAAATGAGGCCTGTGTCTGGATCTGTTATCATGAACCAGCCGTTGTGACTGAGCTTGATGCGTCCGTCCTTTCTAGGGCGCCCACCACGCGAGGGTGGTGCATCGTAGCACTTTGTTGCGATCTTCTCGTGGCCGTCCATGGCGACCGTCTTGATCCTGTGTGTCGTCATGTCGGGGATGGCTTGCTCATGCCACCAAGTGTCATACTCCTGGAGCAGGCGAGAGGACAAGGGGTCGTCAATCAAAATGGACATATGCCGCGACATTCTCGCTTGCCGTGCGAGCACGCCCCACATACTCTCGCATTCTTGCGTAACAATGCAAAGGAGTCTGGCATGGGAGTAATCGGGACGAAACCGAGCATGATCATGATCCTCTGGCCAAATGAATCCAGCCTGCGCCCATGCGATAGCCCTGATGGAAAGGTAGCCACGGAACTGAAGTGCATCGTGGTACTGCAAGAATTCTACATCAAACCCAGTCGATGCCGTGATGAAGATGTACTTTGCATCACTCAAGATCATGGAGTTTAGCTTCTGACCACCAACCAACCTGAAGTTGTAGTAGTGCTGAGAGCGACAAGACTTGCTAGTGCACCTCATGCGGACGTGGTGTGCCCTTCTGACTCCAGACATACCGTATATGATGGCATCCAAAGCAGGCCTGCGCTCGCATAGAGAGGCTCCGCAGCACAGACAAGTCGTACACGGGCTGATGATGCGCTGGGTGTGTTCGTCCGAGTTGGTCTCGCCGCCAACGCTTCCTGGAAGATTGTAAGCGGTCTCGTCAGGTGGCACCTCCTCATGCAGAGCCACAGCGAACTGGAACCAGGTCAGATTCTCTAGCTCAGAGCGCAACGTTTGGAAATCATCAGGAAGCATCCATAGGCGACGTTGTCCGGCGGTGGAGTCGTAGATGGTGACTTTCTCTTCGTCATCAAAAACGACTGCGATCCAGTGTCCAACATCTTGATCGAGCTGCTGATGGCACAACCACTGCTCACCGGAGCCCACCCGCTCAGGCGCAGGCTCCAGATCAGCATGCATGAGTCGATAATTCCAGTATGTCGGTCGCTGCGAAGAGAAGATCATGGCATCATTGAAATCCTTTGCAGACATAGGACCTGTGTGATCGCGCAGACAAGACAGGTCGCAATCTCTCTCCATTGAGGCAAGAGCATTCAGCAGACAGCACCCGTATGATGTGATGACTCCTGTACTGTTCTCCCAATGCAACTGATCTCGCCGAAGAGCGATTCGCATGAAAGAGCGCGTCAATATCGACTGTGGCCACGTCTTGATCTGCATGGGCACGAGAGTATCCGTGCATAGGCGACATGCTTCCACTACGAGAATCTCACTTTCCAGATCAGTACAGTGAACATAAGCGCCGTCGTACAGAAGCACGTTCAGGCGATCTCCAACGCTGCTGCGGACGATATTCAGCAGCTCGTTCTCCTCAAAGGATAGCATTGCGGATAGCCGACTGAATTCCGGATTGCGTCTGTCACCATAGATCTGCTGCCAGGGAGCAGCGAATGTCTGACGCAGTAGCAGCGTCGCTGCCTTCTGCACTTCAGCTGCCAGTTTCAACAGGAAAGGCAACTCTAGAGAAGGTCGTCCACCGTAGAAGATGCGAATTATCTCGACTTTGGCCTCAGCAATGCCTACATCAGCATAACGAGCAATTGCTTGTCGCCACGCATCGAAGTTCACGACGAAGTTCATCAGCATGGGGAATTGGTCTGCGTCCAGCAAGCCACATGTGTCGAGTTTATGATGCAGGAGTCGCGGATGACAACATGGTGCGTCGATCTCCACACAGACCCTGGAGAAGGCAGCGAACCGTGCTTCCTTGGTCAGCTTCTGACCAGCCATGCCTCTGACCATCAAACGTCCATAATGTGGCAGCTTGTAGTACTCTACATCGATCAAGGGCAGGACCTGGTGCTCGGGGGAATTACCTCGTACACGGCGAATGTAAGCCTGAAGCAAGGATTGCCGACGATCTGTACCTGCAGCTGCATAAAACTCAAGGTTGTGGATGTCTACACGTTCCGTCATGCGGCACACGGACAATCTCCCCATGTTGCCATCAGTTCCGAGACTACGATGCTGGATCATAGCGAGTCGCTGCTGCTCAAAAGCGTTTCCGTCCCACTTATCCTGAGATTGCATGATCGCGAAAGGACATCCCCAAGAAGCCCATGAGCCAAAGACAGGGGCACCACCGAGGTCATTCATAATGGCCACCACCTTCTTCCAGTCCACAAGAAGCTTGTGGAAACACGAGACATCCATCTGCTGAAAAAGCTTGCAAGTAGCAGCATCTATGGCACCCACAAAGTAAGACAGTTTTGTTCTCTTGCCCTTTTGCGAAGCAGCACAACCGGGGATCTCTGGCAACTTCTGCAGGAGATATTCTTTGATAACCCTTCGCTGAGGCGTGTTCGCATGAACCTTCTCCAACAGTGTCTCTGCTTCGTGCGTGATGTCAATGACTGTTCCTGGCGGAGGTGCTTGGCTGCCAGCAAGACAAGCAGATAGCCAGTCCGTGTCTCTCACCAGATCGGGATGCACTTGGCGAAGATCATGGATCATGCCCATGATGTCCTGCTCTGTGTTCTCTTGGAAAAACGGAATGCACCAGTCTCTGAAGTAGATTGCGGCCATCATAGGGTGGGAGAGGAAGCGTGTGAGCTCATCTTGCGGTATGAGCTTGTATATGCCCCGCGAGTGGTCGACCCTGCTGTCATCCGCGGTAAAGGTGGCCTTGCCCATGATGAAGGCGACGACCCGACGCCGCAAATGCTCCAAGCTTTTGTTCCGTTCTTGTGTCTCCTCGATAATGGGTATGTTCTCGAAATTCAACTCCTGCACTTCATGGCCGCACCGAATCTTCTCTTGCTGGTAAACCCGAAGTTTACCCGGCAGTCGATCTCTTCGTCGACGATGAACCTCTTCCACACATCGGCTACGAAGCGTCCTCGGCTTTCATCTCCTGGATTCTGATGTTAGCCTTATTCCATGCAAGTTCTGCAGATTTTCTGAACTCGACGCGATCTAGAAAGACGCCACAATCCAGGGTAGAACTTGCGATGTCACCGAAGAGAGCCCTGTCCAGTACTGCCTCCATGCCTTTGCCGTCCCCTCCGCCGCCAATCTGAAAGATGATCTTACCTGAGCACTTCTTGAGGAATGCAGCCTGCATGAAAGACAGCTTAAGCTGGAAGAGGTGAGGACTTTGGTAGTAGACCGACTCGATGAAGATGCGCAGACGCTCTCTCACGACCTGTGGGTTCATATCAGGATAATCCGAGGCATGGTTTTCCCAGAAGAAGTTGTACGTCACCTTGAGATAGCAGTTGGCATGGGGAGTCTTTGTAGCTACATTCCAATGCTCATCAAGGAAGACATCGCGAAAGCAGACTCCACAGGATACCGGCATCGGCGAGTCCCATGCCACGAGGATCAGCTTGGTCAAGGTCTTGGCCGTACTTTCCAATTCCAAGTCTTTCCGGAACTTTGCAGTCATATCGGCCACACGTCTAGTCCAGCGGGCATGCCAGGTCTTGTTGCTGGTCTTGACGCGCACATGATCGCTGTTGTTCTTGGCGACATCCTTCATGGTCTGTAAGACAGGTCGGTCTACTTCCTCTAGATCGCCTAGAATTTCCGTGAGATGAGGTCCAGCTTCGCTCCATGACCACGCGACCTGTGCATCCTGTTCCTCTAAGGACATGGCAAGTTGAATAAACAAACCCTCCAAAGCGAGCAGCAAGTCCCAAGCTTGGATGGACAAGGAGCCAGCCATGACCCATGCGCCATCCTCGTAATGGAACACCTGTCGCTGATGAGCTCGCCAAAGGTTGCCCTCCAGCAGCATACACACAGTAAGTTTTTGCATGTTGCTTGGCGTGTAGTTCGCAAAGTCCATGTCAGTGATGAACTTCGCCAGGATCAGTAGCTTCTGTGCATCGACAGTGAGATGTCCAAACCGTACTAGGCCATCACGTTCATATGCATCAACCACTTCCATGAGGCTTTGTTCACGGGTGGGTGGTGGAACTGGAGCCGGGGCTGGAGGACGGGCTGCATGCTCATCTTGCACGTCGGAGAACGCACGAAACCTGAGTGAGTGGCATCGAAGGACGACTGGGACGAAGTGCGAGGAAACTACATGATTCCATACAGCAGACCCTTAAGTAAGTTCTTGACAAATCTGCTCCTCGCAAACGTTTTCGGGGTGGTTGCACGCTTGGATCGACCGGAGTCAATGGACGTTCATCCCCGGCATTGGCTTGCGACTGCCCCTCCGCCATAAGCTCTTCTAACTGAAGCTTAAGGGAATCGCGTGATGGAGCGCTGGAAGCCATCGGGTACGAACGGAACAGCGCTAACGGTCGAGATACGAAATCTAGCTGAGGCTCGAGCTGACACGTGCTACAGTCAAGCATATCTCCTGAACATGCTGACATTGCCTCGAGTGGCTCCGGCTTCCCGTTCAAATGTCTCACTCCAACCGGGACTCCGACCAGTTACATCGGCAATGTTGGCACCCCTCGTCCGGCTTCTTGAAGACCTCACAAGGACTACACGCCTCAATGGACTCTCGGATCTGTCGGAGTTAAGGCCTATCAGAACATTCCGAAGGGCACGTTATTTCGCATGCACCAAAGTGCAACACAAGCGGCATCACGATGTATCCAAACCAGCCATTCCCGGAGCAGACACTCGTTGAAGCGCTACACAAGTTACCCAAAGCAGCCATTCCCCAAGCAGACGCTCAATTCCACAAGCACTCTATCGAGCGATACACAGGTGGCATCGCAATTTATCCGGAGCAGCCATTCCCCATGCATAGGCTCAATTCCAGAAGCCCTCGTACGAGCGATACACAAGTGGCAGCGCAATTTAGCCAAACCAGCCATTCCCCAAGCAGGCGCTCAATTCCACAAGCACGCGTTCGAGCCACACACGCGTGGTATCATTGCATTTCAACTGACCACAAGAGCATACTGAATCGCCAATACCAGTTGCATGCTACGTGACTGTTTGACAGGGGGACAGGGGAAAGGGGGACAGGAAGCAAAGACAGAAACAAAGAAGACAGCGAGTGCAGCAAATGCGCTTTCCCTTTTTTTGGACCCAAGCACAGGCAGTGCTTCTGAGTCAGTCTTACCGAGCCAGAAAACATTAAAATACTTAGTTCATGCCATCGTTGTCTACACTGAGATATCCCTCGTTTGGAGCTTAAACTGGTCGTCTATCAGATGGCACTTCTCATTCGGCCGTATCACTTTGCCTCGGGTCTTCGACTGGTCGTCTTTCGGATGGTGATTCTTGCTCCGCCACCAACGGTTGCCGTTGTTGCGATGCCACCACGATCTCCCATAGTAGCCTGTGTTACGTGCATGGTGTTTCATCTCTCTTCTTCTGCTTCCTGGCTTCTTTTTTCTCTTTGGTCTGTATCTCCAACCGCTGCTGCATGAGACGGACTCTCGCGAGCTGCAGCTTAAGTTCAAGCTGTCGATTTTGATCTGCAGCAAGAGTAGAACCATTCTTGTGGTCGCACACGTCGGTCTTCACGGCATGGCCCTTCTTGATACTCTTCCTTGCAGCCTTTTTCTTTGCAGCTTGACCATCGCGGTTGTTCCTGCTACTATCATGTTTTGTTGTTTTGGCGCTGTTTTTCACAGAGGAACATACACATCTATCAGCGCCCCATTTGCCGCACTGCGTGCAACGAGTCCGCGCCATCAGGGAATATGACGCGTTGAACGGGAAATGTTACTGAGAAGTGAATCGATGGCTGCATCCGGAATGGACTGTTCTCATGCTGGTTTGTGTATGCTGACTAACCTGACTTAACTCCATACAGAAGCGTGTCAACCTACCAATTATACAGAAGCGCGTCAACCTACCAATTAAGTGCTAACCGACGTGCGCCACGAAGTAAGGCTCGCACCTGCAGCGGAGAGCTGATGTTCAACATAAATGTCGCTAAGGATGTTCATCTATGACTAGCTACTGTGCATATAAGTGTAGACATACAGAGGTATGAAGACCGATAGACAACATCCTCGGGCACGTGTAAGCACGTAAGCACGGACATGTATCTGTATCTATATGTGCAGATAGACATATACATAAGTTTAGACATCCACGTCTATACGTGTGTACACATGTATGAAGGCATAGCTACGCGAGCATGGACATGCAGATTCATTTCAACATAAGTAGCCGTAGAAGCGAACGGAGTGCATAGATATACAGTTATATGTGTATGCTTTCTACTCTCTCACAGAAACGTGCATAGTCGCACAATGAAATGTGTGTCTATTCTAGTCCTTCCCGGGAGGGCTAGCACGCACGCACGTACGTGGCTGGGAGGAAGGAAGGTTAGGACAAAAAATCTTCGAGGGGAAGGGGGGCAGGGGGGATTGGAATGGGAGCCAGCAGGTGCAGTGGTTTGTTCAGAGGGAAAGACAAG